ATATATATATATTTGACGATATATATATATATATATATATATATATTTGATTCTGCAGACTGTTGAGGGTTCAGCCTCCTGATGAGTCGGTGAAACTCCGACGAAACAGTTTGTCACAGCCCCTCGTTTGTTGTCTTCTTCTCTCTCTCTGCCTACGGTTTACCGGGCAGTTCTATTTGTGACGATATATATAACCCCTCTTTTGTTGTCCTCCTCTCCCTTCTGCCTATGTTCCACCGGGCAGTTCTGTTTGGCAATAGCAGAACACGGGCCAACTGGCTGGCCTAGCTCAGTTTTCTGCAGGACCGGGCCTGAAAGTGAAGGTACTAGGTAGGTAGATTTTTTGTGGCAGTCTTGAGAATGTCGATGAATTTTGTGAGACGTACGCGGCTTGTAGTTTTTTTCGGATAATGTTGGCGGTTCGAAACCCGGTGCGGTAGCAGGCTCTGATATTTAGTCTGGCAACTTTCGGACTTCTGTTTTTTCGATCGTGGATCTTCATCTACGGTGTATGAGTCTTGCTATTTTCGGTACGCAGGGTACAAATAGGCGGCCAATTGAATAGTCAGACACCTTCCGCGATCAGAAGACCCCTGACGAGTGTCGGTGGCGGCCGGCCGAAACTAGTCGGGTCACTACCGCCTGAACATCATTGTACATTCTTCGAAATAAGTCGCGTTCGGGAGACTTTTCACGGCGTACCGGTCTTCTCCTTTCCTCGCTTCGCTGACTTTCCATCCTCTTGGTCTTCTCTTCTCTTCCCCTTTCCCCTCTCTCTCTCTCTCTCCCCTTTCCCCTCTCCCTCCCTCTGTCTCTCGTCCTTTGGTGAGTTGCTGTATGCATGTGGCACTTTACGTTCGCACTTTGTATGTGGCTGTCGGCATCTACTGTAACTACACTAGCTCAGTTTTGAACAGTTGAAAATTTGAAATACAAACCGGAGTTCGAACTCCACAGGCAGTTCTCGTTGAAGGCGTGCTGAGTCGAAGTTATCTGAAGTCAGTTGATCTGAATTTTTTGGTGGATTCGCTTTCTCCCTTACTCCTAGTACTCTCCTACTGATATTCATCCTGACAAGAACTACTTATTTAGAATAGAACTTTGTGGCATGGATTTGTGAAAGACTGAAAAAGATCTTACAACAAAATTTCAATCACACAAATCAGAGTATAAATTTTGACGTGTTCAACTTATTTAAGCAAAGGCGAAGTACTCGTACCGAGTATAAAATTTGACACGCTGAACTCAAAACATGCGAATGTGAACTACGGATATTCAGTTTGGCAAGAAGATGTCATCTGCTTTGGCCTTCCTCCTCTTCTCTTGTGTGATGAAATTCGGTTTTTTTGCCCTCGATCTCTGCGGTGTGTTGAGATTAATTTATGTGAATGTCAACTTCAAATATTCAGTTTGACACCCTTTTCTCTTGTGTGATGAAATTCGTTCTGTTTACCCCCAGAGCTCTGTGATTACAGATAGGAGTGTGCTTGATGCAAGGTATGCTGAAGCAGAAGCCAAGTTCAAGGACAGGTGGGTCCTTCATCCTGATGTTGGGTGTGTCAAGGTTATGCAAGGTACCCTGAAGGTGGTGGGTGGGATGTCTTGATGATGGTGTGTTTGTGGGAGAAGCCGAGAGAGAGAGATGGGATGTCTTGATGATAGTGTGTTTGTGAGAGAGAGAGAGAGAGAGAGAGAGAGAGAGATGGGATGTCTTGATGATAGTGTGTTTGTGATAGAAGCCGAGAGAGAGAGAGAGAGAGAGAGAGAGAGAGAGAGAGAGAGAGAGAGAGAGAGAGAGAGAGAGAGAGAGGTGGTTTGTGCATACAGTGCGGCTATAAATCAAAAGGTGACATTTATGTTTCCTTTTGTGCGACAAAACGTTTTGGATATGCCTGTATCCTGTCCCTTCCTTTACACACGCAAGTGTGTCTGGATGCACCTGGACAACGGCACCATACAGGACATTCATCCTGGGGCACTGAGGTCGCTGCAAACGCTGAGAGGGTACCAAAGTCTTCTTTTCCGAAAACTATGGTGGGCGTGCACCGCTGTAGGGCTCAACTTGTGATGTCATATCACTAGAACAGAAAAGGAAAAAAAGAGTGATGCCCCCTGGAGGTGACCGTCCTTAGGGGCCTCTGCAATCCATCTTATCTCCCCAAATGGCTGAGTACCAGGACATCTCCGGAGGCCTCGCATCCAACCTCTACGACGACTTGAAAAAGGAAAAAAGAAAAAAGAAAAAGGGCAAAACGAAATGGTGTTCCCGAAAGGCTTCGGTACTGTATAGTGCAAATTTGGGGTGCTTTTTTTTTTTGGG